TTCGGGACATTCCATGCAAGCTCTACCATCATATCGGTGCCCGTGAAGCGAACCGTCTACAATTGGAACTTCTCCTCCAACACATCAAGGCAGTTTGTTAGGTTCATTTGACCAGATTTGATGGGTTCGTTCCATTTTGTTCTTTACAATCTTTTCATACTTAATTTCCGACTACTAGTGATACCGGCGGTGAAATGGGACTTGTTCGAGATCTCGTTCGGTATCGGCAATCATGTTGAATTTTTTTTCGTGTTCATTGTCGTCGTCACCGCCGGGTTAGTTAATTTAATAACAACTCGATCACAAGTGGTGGGTTGTGATTATGCGAGTACGTGGTGATTTCGGTTCAGCTTCGGTTAGTTTATGCAGGTTTTTTGTTTCTACACACTATTTTGACGCTACTCAGTGGCTGGGTAGATCGCACTCATTTTTGCATGCTGTATGGGAGTTGTCAAAAAATGAGTAAACTGGTTTTGCTCCGATGAGTGGAATCCACCCAGATTCTGGGTAAATGATTCTGCTATCAATTTTGTCAAAGTACAAAATGACTCAAAAATAGAACAGCCATGTAACAACCTGTGCTCTGAGTCAATTGAATTCAGTCGTTGAGTCGTTCTGATTGACCGTGCAGTAGGCGCGTCTGCTCAGTTCGGAAGTTAAGGGCTCACTATTGTCGTTTTCGGTTATTTCTAGTGCGAAACTAGTTCCGCCCTAGATCCGCCCTAACAGCTGTCAAAACGTTTCTTTATTCGAGTGGGTTGGATCCAGATCCGCCCTGGGTCTGACTCAAACTTGAAGAGGTTCGCTCTGTCGATTTTTTGAGATCCAACCTGGGTTCACCAATACACACAAACGCTAGCTGTCAAAATCAAATGTTGTTTACATTATTCACCATTCGCGAATGTAATCGAATGTTTTTTTTCCTTGTCGGGTATTTTCATCACTGCGACCATTTTTCTGATCTATTGTGATATATTCCCCATTTTTTTTTCTTTAGCTATATCAAGATGCCGTATCACTATTATTAGGAGTGATCGCCATCGTTTGACTAATAGCATTATCCCAGCACGGCATTATACTTCGAATAAAGTGCACTGCCGTACTGGGAGTTGTTCTTCAAATGTCAAAGGGTTCTATCAGCCCCTTGTCGAAGAACTTACGCCTTTTATTGAAAATTGCCGGACAGTGGCATAGCAAATGTTCCGAGTCTTCCTTTTCTATGCCACAGAAGCGACATACATCATCTTGAAGTTTTCCAATCAGCTTCAAGTGATAACGGCTCGGACAATGACCTGTTATAAGACCTGCATATATACTAAGATCTTTCTTAGAAAGTTCCAGGATTTTGTGGGTCACAGAAATGTTTGGATTAATAAATCGCTTCGTCTGCCTAGCAATGGAAGTGTTCTTCCAGTTTTCCTCCACTTTTGAAGATTCCCACGCTTTTAGCTCCATTCTAAGAGATGCAGCCGATAAGCCACAAAAGGGCTCTGGCCCGATGAACTTATGAGAAAATCCGAGTCTTGCTAGTGCATCAGCTCTTTCATTTCCCTCAATCCCGCAATGACCAGGAACCCAATATAAGTTGACTTGATTATGACAAGACAATTTTTGAAGTGATTGAACACACTCCCAGACAAGTTTTGATGTACATGTCGCCGACTTTAAAGCATTTAGAGCAGCTTGACTGTCGGACATGACGCATATATTTGAACTCTTATAGTTTCTACGCAAACATATAACGGAACACTCTAAAATTGCTTGGATTTCAGCTTGGACAGTTGGCCATCTGCCCATAGGAACCGATATTTCTATCCCTGGGCCAGTTACTCCTGCTCCCACTTGATTGTTCAATCTTGAACCATCTGTATAAAAAACAATCGATCCTGGACGAAGAACCGGGCCACTAAATTGCCATGAATTACGCCCAGGGTCAACTACTCGAAAAAGTCGATTGAAGTTGTATCTTTTCTCCATGCAGTCTTCGTTGTTCCTTACTAGAGAGTTGATACTAACAGTTTTTAGAATCGTAAGATGTCCTCTAAGGTCTCCTTCAACATCGAATGTTAAACGGATTGAAAATCAGCATAGAAAAATTGAGGTAAGTGTTGTGATAAGATTGTTTAATTGTATTTAATTCGTACGTTTTCGTTACAGAACATGGAATTTATTGAAATGTTATTATCATCATCGTCAAGTTCGTCTGATGATGACTCCGACACCGAGATCTTGTTCAGTAATCTTGATTCCTCAGATGGCCCACAAAGGAAAAAAAATAAGGATTTACAGTCATTTCTGCGTGTTAATCAAATGGAAGTGGCCCATAATACTGGGGTGACTGTAATATTATCCCGAATTCAAATAGGCCACCCAAAACCAACCATAAATTGAACCAATACAATGTGCAAGTAAGCTTTACACTGAGATTTCTTAAATTTATTGTGCCTTATTTGTACCTGCTGCAAGTTTAAACTGACGATTAACATGTTGGAAGAGGCGTATGTCTCATCACGTCAATCTGTACAACAATTAATAATAAGACGGAATTAATAAATACCGGAACATTATATTTTTGCATTGCATCGATATTTTTCCTGATTTTCCAGAATAAACTCTGCTGCGATTTTAAATTTCCTATTTATTCCCCATTTGCGACTAATAATTGGCCTTCGTCTTTTTTCTACATGCAATAGTCATCCTCAATAGTCATAGTTCGTTTTGACGATTGCGAGGAAAATTCCAGGTTCAATTCTAATGAGTATCCCAAATAAGTTCAGACAATTCATAGTGATTTCTGAAGGAGTTCTGAGAAGAATTTCAAGAAAGTTCTGAGGTGAGATCTAAGAAAAACCCCAGATGAACTCGAGGGTAATTAGAAAGGGATTCTGAGGAAAGCTTCAAGGAATTCTGAGGATAAATCCAAGGCATTCTGAAGAGGAGGGAAATATTGGAAGTTTCCAAGGGCAATTGCAGAGGAGAATTCCAAGATAGTACTGTGCAGAATTTCAAAGCATATCTGAAATGAATTGCATGTGAAGTTTAAGTAGAATTATGAAAGGAAACTTCTGCGAATTTTTTGGCTATTCTAAAAAATTCGAAAATTTTGTCGACTGTTATTAAGAAAATTTCAAAGGAATACCATTGAAAATTTTAAGATTATTTTAGTTTTAGTGGTATTCTAAAAAGAACTCTTAGAAGGGGAATGATTCTAATGAACTTGAGAACATTCCGAAGATATTCTGCAAAGTGTTCCGAGCGATTTATCAAGGTTACAAGCAAAAAAAAAATTAGCATAGACAAATTTTGAAGATTGGGCTGAAATGTTCTGAAGTCATCAAAAAAGGAATTCTTGTTTAGATTCACGCATATAGACTCATTAAAGTACACATGGTAGAAAAATGTTCCGGAATTCCTTGGGGTACTAAAGCAGGGTGCCTACTACATAAAAACTAGGAATCCTCACGGAATTTTATTTTTCCTGGAAAACCTGGAATACTCAGGGAATTTTCAAAATTATAATCGAATACAACTTATCAAAATGTATGATAAAATGGAGCATAGTAAAAAAAAAAGTAAATCATAATAATTCATTACTCATAATAGCTATAAGTATTCAACCTGAATGAGTAATTAAAGAAAATGCTATTAATTTACGTAATGAAGTTTGATTTAATCCACCTATGGCTCCAACAATTATTGATAAAATAAAAGAAATTAAGATCAAATTACAAATTACATTTTATGAAATCAACAATAAAGGAAATTATTTTTTATCAAGTTATTTAAATTAAACTATTAATTGAACTTAAGCCTTCTATTACTCCTGGGAATTTAAAATGGAAAAGAGCACCTCCTCTTTTTAGTAATAGTTGATTAAATTAATAAATCATTAAAATTATTATTAACTATTCAATTTTTATTAAAAATAATATTATTAAAATAATGGCAAATAATAAAACAGATGAAGCAAAAGCTTGAGTTAAGAAATATTTTAATCTACTTTCTGAGGTTATTAAAAAATTTTACCTTCATTTATTAAGGCAATAAATGAAAGTAAATTAACTTCTAATCCTATTTATGCTACAAGAATTCAAGAATTTTAGGAAATTGCAATTAAAGAACCTGAAATTAATGTACTAAGAAAATTATTTTTAATTTTATTTTAATTTTAAATAAAAAGAAAAGAATTTTAACCTATATAACTACAGTATGAACTCAATAACTTAATAAGCTAATCTTGTAAGATGCACAAAAGTTTCTGAAGCTTTTGGAAATAGTTTAATTCTATTAAATATAATAATAAAAAAGCATTAAACCTTTATGATTAACCCTATCAAGGTAATCCTATTTTTCAGGCAATTCCCCCCCCCCATCTTGCTGTAGCACATTCCCTTCCTCGTTCAGGACAAGCTGATAGTTGGACAAATCGATTTCCGCTTCTATTGTTTTACAATTTTAAAATACTGAACTTCTGAAGCACTGCACAAAAATGGGCTGTTACGATTTCGTCGATTTCTTTACTCTGACTTTGACAGTTCGAACGATTGCACTAACACCATCATACTGACTCGACCTCAGATCCTACTCGGATCCATTTTCATTCGTTTATTGAGAGTCAGGGTTGACTCTGACCCAGGTTAAAAACCGAAAACGACATATGAATCACACCATTCTGATCCCAAAACACACAAACAACATGTACCATTTGGTTCCAGCAGTCGCTTTGGAGATCGATTGAGGATCGACCCCTAGATCAATCTCGTTTCAGTCGGGATTAGCAAGGTTCAGCCTTTATGGGTGCTCACCCATCCTACGAAACTTGAAGCGTACTTTTCTGACTGTCTTTATGAATCGCATGACAACGCATTTTTTTTTTCGAATTTTGTGGGCATACCTAATCAACTATCTGCAAGTATCGAGGCGCGCGAGTAGCAGTTTTTTCGTCGGACCGGAAAAAAAGGACAACCATTTGATTTACCCGTCATTTATTACGCACTCACCTTAGGATAGTAAATTTCGATAAAGTTTGCAATCACCGGATCGTTCAGCGACAGTCTCTCGTCTCTCAGAATCTCATCGATGTAATCCACCAGCAGTGGATTCTTGATCAACAGCTCCGCGTATCTGCAAAACATATACACTGTGAAACAACGCCCCGTAAAGAGCAACAACACCCGGCCACCCACCTGTTGGTTGTTTTGTTATTGTAGATGCCAACCCAAAACTTGGCAAAGATATTAAAGTGTAGCACCACGGCCTCGATTCCGATGAGCAACGACAGGTGTACCAGCGGTTCGTTGAATTGACTGGAGGTGACGGCCACCCGGAACATGATATCCAGAAATTCGTGATATGGACGGTAGAACAGTTCCAGCGCGAGATCAAAGTCCTTATCCAAACCCTGTGAACAATGGATTCAAAGTTGGTTACGAAATTCCAATAATTGATCACCAAAACCTACCTTTTCGCAAATTTGCGACTGTGGTATGTTCATCTGGACCATGGGCCGCGGAGGACGAGGAGTGTTCTTCGACACCGGCGGCCAAGTCGCCTTCATACCACGCCTCGGGAAATACGACCCCAGAGGACCCATGGTATGCGCAACGTTCTGAGTGTGGCAGTGTGTTAGCAGCGGCACCAGTACCGTACTGATGATCTCCGGAGGGGCACATTTGACCAGTTCTTTGAGAACCTCTAGAGCGAGATTTCGCATCTCCGGTGGGTTGAAGGTATTCAGCAGGGTTGCCAACCTCCGCACAGCTTCCGGAAGCCCTTTCATCAGTGCCGGTGGGGGGCGTTTCTTCTGCTCTCGACAGCTGGCTCGAAGTGTGCTGATCAGAAGTATGACTTCGGTTAGCAGTTCTTGCAGGTCACCAAACACGTGACAAGCGGTAGCCTCATGATACATGGAGTGCAGCGTGTGAAGAGCGTCGAAACAAAGCGTGATGCCTCCATTCAGTACTACAAACAGTCGATCATCGTCGTTATCGACCAAAATCCGTAGGGCAGCTATCAGCGTTCCCCACGAAACCCGAGCGTCCAGTCCGTTCAGGTAGGCTGTCAATGTGGTTCTGCGAAATATGGTAACCTCCCGTTGTTCCGCTTCCGTGGCATCCGGATGTCGTTGTGCGAAGAGTGTCATAAGCCGGAACAGTTCGTCCACGGCCAGCGGGTACTGCGTGGGATGGGGAGTGATGTTCTTGAAGGCCCACTGCAGATTTTGATGAGCGGCTAGCTGACGGGTCAGCAAACGGCTCTGTTGACAGCACATTCGGAGCAATCCGTAGTACACCGGAAGCATTGCGCGGTTGTAGGTGACGATCTCCGAGTCGTCGTGATCGGCTCTGTTGATTGGAGCAAGGTTAGAGTCTCCTGAATGGTAGAAAGAAATTCAACGGATACTTACAGTATGTAATTAAATGCAATATTCCTGGTGATGTCCGGACAGTTTGCGACGAGCAGTGCATTCTCGGGACAATCCAGCGTAGCCTGGTACCAGAACGCCAGCAGAGCCTGTTTGTTGTGATGCGCTGGAACCGAAGGTTCCGATAACCGAGGATGGAACAGCTCCCACAAAGCTCGTAAGTGTGGACCCAACTGAAAAAAAAAACGACCACAAGCTGGATTACACCGAAATCCGGAACCTTAAGTTTACTCGGAACTCACCATCAACTTCTCCGTCTTCGACACCAAGCAGTACGTCATAAGATTGAAGTACGCCGTCAGCTTGGTCGTCCCGTGGACGCTTATGTCCGTGTAGTTTCGAGCGGACCGGAGCAACCTCAGCAGGAGATTCAGAATGGTATGCAGGATGAGTTGAGCTTCGCATGAAATTTCCCTCGGCTGGGTAGCATGCATCGTCAGCTTGTGATGAGAAGTGGCCCGGAAGTTGGTGCGGAAATTTTGCGACGGTACCAACGACACCAGGAGATAGGCGGCGGCATTCCGCACTCGAGCATTGTTATGGGCCAGCAGGAATGTTTCGACCCAGCTTTCGGCCGATTGAAGGATCCAGGTGTGAGCAATTTTGTTCCGAGGAGCCTGCACCGCCAGCCAATCCAAAGCGGACTGCGGACAGTACTCGGCAGCATCCCAAACCCTCTGCAGTACAAGCTGGGAGAAACATGGCAACCCCGAGGGACCTCCCGTGGATTCTGTCAGCAGTGTTAACAATTTGAAAAACGGTCCACATAGCTCCGTATGCTTCGTCACGGCAGTGAATAGCATCGCGATGATCTGGCCAGCCAGTCGTTCGTCACATCGACACAGCGCGTGGATCAAATGCCTCGTCTGGTGCGGATTGATGTTGTCCTTAATCTGCTGGTAGAGAAACGGAAATCCCTTCCCACCCGCAATGGCATTGTAGTCCCGAGCGGACAAATGCAGCCGCAAGTCGGGACCTCGGGATCGCTCCACCAGGGACGCCACCAGAGCAATCATTTTATCCAACGACGCCGGTCGGCTTTTGTCAACCGTAAGAGCCTCATCGGACGAGTTGTCCTCGTTGTCGGAGTTGGTGTCGATCTAGAAAAAAGAAAAAGATTTGTTTTTAAATCATCCAAAACGAGCTTATTTCCATCCGAATATAACTTACGCAATCCTGGGCCTTGTGGCCGAGGTAGAAGTCGGCAACGCTTCTTATCACATTGATTCGCAGCAGAAACAGGGCTTCCTCTTCACCCATGCGGGAGAATTCGTACAGTAACCCGAAGAACTCCGACAGATGGCGCAGATGGGCACGGGCACCATGCTCCATGAGCATGATCAGCGACTTGATAAACCGCGTGACGCACGAAACGTTACCGATGATTTCGTTCCCGTCCTCGTCGGTTTCCACCTTCAGGTAGAGCGCGCTGTGACTTTGCCTGCGAATATGCGACGGATGATTATCGACAATTTGCTACCAGCATGTCATTAGGGTGAATCTGCTTTCGTGAACAAATGACTGCAACCGGTGATTTCTCGCAAGTAAAAGCTCACTCCTGCAAATGTACTGTTTCCCCCAACTATTATTTCCACAAATCTAGATATAGCTGGAATTAGGGCGTAACAGCCTTTGTAAACAATGACTTCTCTCGTTGATTTCTCAGAATTCAAGGCACGCCTACACAAACCAATATATCCATCGGGTAGGAGAAGTCTTCCTCTACTCGATGGTGATATTGATTTGCCAAGGAGAGCCATGGATTCCGAGAAATCATCGAGAGAAGTCATTGTTTACAAAAGCTGTTACGCCCTAATTCCAGCTCTATCTAGAAATACAGTTGTCTCAAAAATGGTTTCAAAACAATCGTCTCTTTAAAAAAATTGTTTTGTTTTGTAGGTTAGTTAGTTTAAATTGCTGGATGTACATTTTATTTGTAATTAATTAATCCGAAGAAAAATATCAAAGACTCGAAGACTGGTACCTCCAAATATTCCATAGTTTCATTAGGCGTTGGTTTGTACGACATTCTGCGAAGTACCCTTTTGAACAATTTTACCTAGTGTCTCACTTTCCAACAAGTGCTTCCAAAAATTTGGCGAACGTTCTGTGGCGAAAGTTTCAGCTCAACTGATCATAATTTGACAAAGTTACATCATGTCAAAGTTGGCCATTTTGTATGGAAATAGGCATGCGCTGCTATTATATTGAACACAACTGTAGGTCTAAGTTAGTCATGAGCTATTTAAATAAAATTCGTTCTTCTTTCGTTTTCGCTCTAACGGACTAGACGCTATTTTACTGTCCCGGATTTTACTTTGCTCCATTCCTCCCAAGAGGTTATGGGCCCAGCACGCTTCCATTTGCTCTGTAGGACAGTACCGAACGGACACCATACCACCTGCAGTGCGAAACCGAACTTTTTGTCAGTGCGTAGGTTTTAAAAACAAACGATCAAAGTGACGTTCGTGAGAAAATAAGCAGACCTAATCTTGATACCCGATTCAGGTTGGAACAGAATAATAAACGAATTCGATATTAGTGTTGATATGTTTCGACTATCGTGAGGGTCTGTCCGTCGCGGCAAGAGCGATGCAGCTCTGGTTATCTCCATTAACCACAATGGGCAACACCAGATGTTCGCCCAAATCGTCTATCAATCGAAGCAGCCGCTGCAGTTCTTGCAAGCATTCTGCATTTATCCGCTTCATTGCTGGAAAGGGACATGCCTGCTCCTGCTTCCCCACCGACCTCCACCGAACTTGAAAATATATCCAGTGTTGGACTTCCGGTTGTGGACTTCACCAGCCCAGTCTGCGTCCACAAAACACTCCACTTGAAGGTTGCTACCACCACCCAGATGTAGCTCGTGGTCTGCCGTACCTTTCAGGAAGTCGAGATAGCAACGTGCGGACGCGTATTCACAGAGATTACAACAAGGCTCCGACCAGACTTTGGTATTGTTGTGAGTCACTATCCTCCTTTTGTTGTACGAAACCGCTGGTCATCGGAACACGAGAAACTTTGCAATTCTCCATGTTAAACTGCGACAAAGTCTTCAGCACATACGATTTCTGACTTCAAGTCGCCCAGCTCCGCAATCGTGTGCTTGCTCAAAGCTCCGACCAATCTCCGACACTCCTGCTCCGTTCTACACACGACAACGATATCGTCCACGTAAATCAATATGTACGTGTGAACACCATCACAATTCGCAAATAGAGACGGGTCACCCGATGATCGATGAAATCCCATATCCTTCAACGCTTCATGAATATCTCCTCCTGCATCACGCCATACAGGTACGCGGCCTTGATTTCAATCTGCTTGACGACCATTCGCCACTTCCTCGCTATCGTTAGCATGGTACGGAATTTGATTTGCTTCACCACCGGTGCAAACATCTGATCGTATACAGTACCGTACTTTTGGGAAAACCTCTGTGTGACCAACCTGGCCTTGTATCGCACAATCGTCCGGACTAATATTCCTTACATTTGTACACCCACTTGCAGCCAACCACGTTGCAATGTCGGACTACCTTGGTAAGGATCCATGTTTCATTGTCACGAAGGGATGCCATTTCCTCGTCCATGGCCGCTTTCCAGGCTCACAATCGCATCACTCGTTCTTGGCTCTTTGCACGTGTTCACGGCCAGACAAATCGCGTTGTTGTACCTCGCTGGTGGGACTTCGAAGTTCGCTCTCTGTGACTGTCGCACATCATCACGAACAGCTGTAATTACCACAGTTTGCTCCTCCTGTATTGGTACTGTCTCTGTCATCTTCGTCTTGAGATTCTTTACCTTTTCTCGCATTCTGTCCGCAATCGAACAGTCGCACCGCACCCTCCCCTTGGCTAGTTTTTTTAACCTGGACGTTGGTGGGCGGGCCTAATCTTATGCTTCATAGTGGAGCGTTGGAGACTATTGGTTTAGGTCCGGCATCGTTGGCTCATGCCGTGACAGAATAGCGTCATGAGCATGCGATGAGGATTACTGAGCTTCCCCTCGCTGATGAACCATTGCATAAGAGAACCAAAGTTCTAGCCTGAAGTGATAGTATCACACTTGTTACTCCTTTAGTTGAAAGCCGCGTCGTAGTACGCTTACGTATAGGCACTGACGTTGGGTGCGATACTGGCGGGTTTTGCCGCAAATCACTCTTATTTTATTTATTTGGGTTTGCAAGGGAATTATACTATTGAAATATTTCAGAAAGTGCCCAACAGTGCTCCTTCTACTTGCGTGACAAGCTTTCGTTGTTGTTTTCATTGAGGTATTACTCAGGGAACAATGTTAAACACAATTTTTGTACATGGTATTGTAACTAATCTTATATGTGCTTCATTTTGATTTGGGATAAGTGTTTGAACTATGGCTCGGGATTTTCACTGTGGCGTGCTTCTATTGTGACATAACCATACGTATTTTTGTGGTGCGACATAGTGGAAATGTGTGAGCGTAGTTGAAGCATATACCCTATGTAATTTAAAAATCAGCTAGAAAACTAACTTCAAAGTGAAGCATTTTAGTAACTTGAAGGTGTCACCTGGGACGAACTAATATATATTAAATATAGGTCCAAGTCAAAAACAACTTGAAACACGTTAAATTTTGGATTACATTCACAAGTGCAGGTACTTAATAAAGCATGGTAGGTAGATTAGAGATTTCAATTATTCATTAAATTAGACTAGAGATATCATAATCATCAAACTAACTTAAATAAGAAAATTTAGACAGCCTAGTAGTATTAAGTGGATTATCAGAAGAGTTAGGATGCGGAGGGTCCGCTTAGGGCGGCAACTAGCCTTTAAAGCAACTGGCGACTAGCCTTTTCATGTATTGTCTGTTTATTTTGATTATTGCTTTAAAATATCAATTTGGTATATATGTGAAAGGATGAATCAGTGGGAGATGGATTTCCGGTTTCTTTACATTTAGCATCATTATGTGTCATTTCCTCAAAACCCCCCAATATCCGGCCTCTTCAATCCCTTCCTTTTCCCATGGCGTTCAAGTGGTCCGCATAGACTATTCAGCCATTACCCGTCCTTTATCCTCGGCTTTGGATTGACTTGCGCTCCCATTGCCCCACCAAATGCTGCAAAATGAAATGAAAAATTAAATCGAACAGTCGCACCGCAATGTGCTGGCCTGTTCATCGAGCTCCAAGAATCGTACGTCACGACTGATGACTATCTGGACCGTAGGCTTTGCTGTCCAATGCGTATCCGACAAAGGTCATTTTGGTTGACTTCCCTTCAAACCTCTCTCTCTCTTTTAAGGCGGAATCCACACGTATGGTGATGGCAGCCGGTTCTGGATATACGCCACGGTATTCACAGCCTCTGCCCAAAAACGACGAGATAAATCAGCATCCAACAGCATACAAAATCCCAGCTCATTTAACGTCCTATTTGTTGTTTCAGCTACGCCGTGAATTCAGCCTTAATTCCTTCTTCTGCGTAAAACTTGTGCATGGTATTGGCGATCTGAACGGATGTCCTTCGGTTTCCGCCCGAATTGAGTTTCAGTGAACCTCGCATACTTACGGATCTTGTCGGCGACTTCGGACTTTTCCTTCAAGTAATAGACGACCACATAGCGGCTATGATCATCAATCATCGTCTGTCGTGGCTGCTTGGGGAAACGATGGCCGCGCCATCTTCCTTTCGACGCAACACTCACAAGTCCACCGAATTCCACAATCCTTGACCTTCAACCCAGAGGCCAAACCGCGCCGCTCAATCTCGCCAATCACATCCGGATCTCTGTGACCTATATTCTTGACGTGCAGACTGTCGGCGTTGTGCAGCTTATCACTCACTAGCAACGATTTTCCCACCACGTTCAATCGGTACACGCCAGCCACGCGATCTACCGTTGCTATTATCGACTCGTCGTACACCAACGGACAATGATCCACGTCGAATTCCGCACGAACACCTTTTTCTGCGAGTTTCATCACGGAAATTAAATTGCCTTCTATTCCCGGAGCAAAAATTACACCGGTCAACGCAACCGACACTTTTTCGTTAAGACTGTTCACGCACTTGATTTTATACCCACCGACGCCTGCCGTACGAAGAACTTTCGACGAAACTGGAATCTTTCCTCGCTTCCAAACCCGTTGCCAGAGGATTGAACAACTCCGGAAGTCCCCGCAATATCAGCGCCACTTCAAGGCACTCCTTCATTTTAAATCCGGAATTTTCCAGACGTGCGGACTGCTTCTCAATTTCCGCCACGTGTCCATCGCGGTCGTTTTGTCACGAATTAGTCTATATTGGCTCTCATCCACCATCAAATGAATCGTGGTCAACGTCTTTCCTCCAAGCGTCCGTCATTGGTGCCGGAGGAGTACCTTGTGCAACATGATTCCAGAGCTACTCCCTCCGCAGCAACGTTTTCACAGAGAACGGCCATGCTTGATAGT